CGGCGCGTGGGCACCGGAAGTCCGCGCTCGGCCCCGCCCCGCCGCGGGAGGGGGCACTTCCGGTCACGCGGGGTCGCCGGCTCGCTGTCCTGGAGAGAGGCGGCAGCAGAGGTCGGGCACTGCGGAGGGGGCTCTAAAGGAGTTGGGGAGACGGGGTGCGCCCACTGGTCCTGCCTTCCTGGGGATCCGGAGACCCCAGGGACCCCTGCGCGCCCCAGGACATCCCAAGGGACCCCTGCGCGCTCCAGGACATCCCAAGGAACTCCTGCGCGCCCCAGGACATCCCAGGGGACCCTTGCGCACCCCAGGAGACACGAGCGTGGACCCTTGCACGCCCCAGGAGACGCCCGAACCCTCCTCCGACCCGGCCGGGCCTCCTCCGTCCGCTCACGACGTAGTGCGCGGTTAGTGCCCGGCCCTGCGCTTGGGGACCCTTCCCTGCGCCCCGCTCTGGGGACCTTGTGGTCCGCCTGGGAAAGCGGCCGGACGAAACCTGGGCTTGAGAACTTAGGTGGCCCTCGCCGGTGGAGGGGAGCGGGTGGACGAGGTGCTCGCAGCCCCACAGCCCACTGCGCTGTGGTCTCTTGTGGTCATAGGTCTTAGGGGCGCAGAGGTGGTCTGGATGGGGGTCCCTCAGGCCACTGGGAGGTGGACGTGTTGGAGGCCGCGAACCAGCGGGACCTGCAGGGACCTGCCGGGTGAGGACGACGTGGCCGGCTCGTCCTCCGCCCCTGGCACCGTTTTTAATGCATCTGTGTTGTTGTTGCACACACCCGTGCACACAGGTTCACACCTATTGGAAGTGGCAAGTTCCTCCCTGCAGGGCGCGGCTGGGTCCCGGAGCTGCTCATGCCCGGGAAGCAAACCGGGCCTTTCCTGAACTCGGGCCCCCAGGCCCAGCCAAATCTGTCCCACAGAGTAGTTGTATTTAGCTCTTGATTATTTTTTTTTCTTTTCCAAATTCAGACTTACTCATTACTGTTGTGTAACCTACTTATAGCTGACTATCCAACTGGTTTTCAGAGACTATAAATTACAAGCGAGATTATCCATCATTTTCGCTCAGAGCGGCTCGTGAACTCCGTGTCTTTGGGTTGGCAGGGCAACTCACTACCACGAGGCCACCAGAGTCTCCTAGCTCTAGGGAGATAAGCACTCCTTAGAACAACCAAGCATATGATTTCAAATGAGAGGAACTTGCCAAGGAGAAAGTTCAGAAGACAAGAAGAGGTTGGAAAGGCGGAGGCATGGAAACGGGGAAAACAGGGAGCGAGTGGGAAGTGTGCTGTTATGCTGTTACATTTGCAATCAGCCTCTCGACGCTGTTTAAAGGAAAAGCAGTTTGCAGAACAAACTTGCACACGAATCACAACAAAAAGTTTGGGAAAAAAGTCTTCACTCTTGTGTATGTGAAAAATCCAAACCACAAAGAACCTGCCAGCATGCCCAGGACATGGATAGTACATGTTGAGGCTCCACAGCGATGTGTCCAAGGCTGAAAGGAGGCCTGCCACCCCAGCCTCTCCCACCCTTGGTCCCAGGGCCGCCTTTATGGGAAAGGGCGCTTGACTCCATGAGAACAAATACCGGAGTTCATTTCACATAAGTACCAGAAGGGGGCGTCTGCCTGAGCATGCCTGTGTGAGGCAAAGGGTGAGGGAGGCTGGGAGGTGACTAGTTTATGGGATGTGAAGCACTGGTGATACAGTGCTTAAAGGGATAGGTTGGTGGTTCAAATCTACCAGTGGCTTTTCTGGAGAAAAATGTGACAGTCTGTTTCTGCCAAGCTGTATGGCCTTAGAAACCCACTGGGACAGTACTCCTTAAAAATCAAATTGCGTCTGGAGCAGTGCAGGCAGGCTTGGGTTAGATGTCAGCGCCCCAGTCATCCGACCCCACCTGCCCTCTTCCATCTAGTTCTCCACTTTGCTGAGTCCCAAGAGCGGGCATCTGGGGATGAGCTTCGCAGACTCCCCTTCCCAGGTTGTGGCATCTGGGGTCATCTCCGTGCAGAGCCAGGCTCCTGTGTCCTGAAGTCCATCCCCTGGCTCTGCACTGACCACCCCAGGTTCTCGTGGCATGGCTTGGGGCAGGACCTACGGGTGGGCCTCTTTTCCAGGTGTATTGTGGGGCCAGGAGACCCAGGCTCTTACCTGTTCTTCCTCTCTCACCTTTTTACACCAGGGAATGAAGTTCTGAGTAAGGGTGGCCCCAGGTAATCCTGATCTTTGGGTTTCATGAATTCCTTAGTCCTAGCCAATTCCTGACCACTGGTCGCTCTGGCTTTCCCTTCCTGTATGTCCTCAAGGTCCTCCATGGCACCCCTGTGTCCACTTAGACAAGCTAGCAGCCTTACCCAGCATGTCCCAGTTTGTCATATCCTGCCCCATCACACACATACACAGACACATGTACATATACACGTATAAGCATGCACACAATATATACACATGCATATACACTCAGATGTGTATACACATCTATTCATGGGAACACATGCATGCACGTGTGCACAGACATGTACAGTTGCATAAACATGCATGCATATGCACACGCATGCATATACATATATACACACACATTTTATACACACATCCCACTCTGCTTCCTTTATTCACAGCAAGAACTCGCAGGTGTACACATGAGCTTACGCTGTATATGGCCCTGGTGGCTGCCTCACACAGTCTGTGGGCTCTGCACTTTTGACTTATGCCCAAGGCCCTCAGTCTCACTGTCCAGTTGTTGGGGAGATGGGAGCTTCCAGGGAACTTTGTCCAGCTCCCCAGGCCCCAAGCTAAAAGACTAAGGGCCCTATGTCGGCAGAGAGGCCACAGGAGGAACCACTGGTCAGTGGCATGGGGGGTGTCAGCAGGGAGAGCTGCAGGGTTAAGCAAAACCTAAAGGGGCACGGATGATGGCCAGACACAGTGCTTGAGACCTATGTGTCCTGCTGTCACCTTCAGAGGTAGGACAGGGCCACCCAGGGTTACCATTGTGGCTCAGAACTCTGTATTACAGAAGGTCCTACAGTGCTGACTTTCTGTATATAGATGCACCTTACAGACACTGCAGGTTCAGTCCCAAACATTGCAATAAAGCGAAGATCACAAGGAAGAAAGGCACATGAATTTGATTTCCCAGTACATAGAAAAATTATTTTCATACTTGACTACAGTCTACTTAAGGAACCTTGGTGCTGTAGATGGGCTTGTTAGCCAAAATGTTCAAAGTCTGAATCCCCCAGCTGCTCCATAGGAGAAGGTGAGATCATCTTTCCTGTAAGGGTTTACAGCCTTGGAGACTGTAAGGATCCTTGGAGGATGGTGGGTGGTTGTGAATCAGAGTTCACTGGACAGTCTTAGGTTCGTTTGCTTTTAATTTCGGTAGGCTATGAAGTGTGTGATAGCATTATGAAAAATATTTGCAATATTATGGTATTTACCTAAACGTGATGGAGACAGAGTGAGCACCTGCTGTTGGAACAATGTGCCAGTAAACTTGGTCCATGCAGGGTTGCCACATACCTGCCATTTGTTTGTTGGTTTTTTGTTTTGTTTTAAAAAAAGGCAGTAAAACAAGGTCTGCTGTAATACAATTGCGCTGGGCTTTGACGTTACTTCTGAATAAATCCAGCCCCCCACTATCCCAAATGAGCTGAGAATATGAGGTCTAGCAAGGCTGGGGGCACTGCAAAGCCCCCAGTGCCACACGACCAGAGTATCAGGACCAACTGCCCTTGCTGGGCCATTACATGCAGTCATGGTAACACTGCATTTTATTGGGCATCTTCCTCTCTTTCACTGACCCTCCACCTTTCCACATGGGATGCTCCTTTCCAAGGGATGTGAGACAAAGCTTTGCCAAGAAGTACCCTCACTGCACCTTTTCCATGATACATCTGATCTCTTGGTTATCCATGGGCTATTCAGTACTCTTCTCCAACACCACAACTCAAAGACACCTATTATTATTTTGTCATCCTTGTTCATTGTCCAGCTCTCAAATGCATACACAGCAAGTGACTGAATAGACCTGAATCAGTACACCTTAGTCTTCAAACTGGTATCACTGCTCAGCACTTTGGAGAGGTCCTGACGACTTGTCCAATTATGTACAACTCCTGACTGCTGGAACCAATGGTGTTGATTGTGGATCCAAGCAAGATTAATCATTGATAATTTCAGTCTTCGCTCCATCTATCATGATGCACATCTTTCCTGATTATAAATCATACAGGGTTGTATTGCTCTATTCAGACAATGAAAACCTTCTTGGTCTAGGTATGTTTCATGTGAGCATTATTAAGTGTTCTGGGATTCCCATTCTTCTCAATGTTAACCATAGTTTGTTATGATCCATACTGTTAAATGACCTTGCGTAGTCAGTAAAACACAAATAGACATTCTATTGGTATATTCTGCTTTCAGCAAGGATCCACCTGACATCAGCAATAGTATTCCGGATGCCACAGTCTCTTCTAAACACATTTTAAACTTCTGGAAGTTCCTTGTCAATGTGCTGCTCTAGAATCATCTCCAGCAGTATTTTGCTTGCATGTGATATAAATGACATTGCTTGATAATTTCCACACTTGGTCACCATTCTTGGGAATAGGTACACATATGGATCTCTTCAGTCAGCCAAGCAGTTACCCTCCGAATTTCCTGGCACAGTCTTAGGAGTACATGTGGGGCTGTATCTGTTAGATGAAATATATCAATTGGTATCCTATAAATTCCTGGGGCCTTATTTTTGCCAATACCGTCAGTACAGTTTGAACTTCTTCTTTACCATTGGCTCTTATTTATATGGTATTTTCTGAAATTTTTCAGTGTCAATTATTTTTGGTGCAGTGATTCTGTGTATTTCTTCCATCTTCTGGTTCTCCCTGGATCATTTGAGATTTTGCCCATAGCATCTCTCAGTATTGCAACTTTTGGCTTTTAATAGTTTTGCAGTTCTTTCAATTTTAGAAAAGTCGTTCAAATTCCTTTTTATTATCCAACTCCAGCTCTTTGCACATTCCATTATAATATTTGCCTTGCCTTCTCAAGCTGCCTTTGGAATTCTTCTGTTCATCTCTTTAACTCTGGCATTTTTTCCTTTTGTTTCGGCTTCTCATTGCTCTCGTACAATTTTCAGTCTCTTCTGACATCCATTTTGTAGGTTTGAGGCATTGAACACTACACGCAGCAGAAACAACTCCTTCATGGTTCCTGGTGCCAAAAACAAAACCCAACTCACTGCCTTTGAGTTGATTCCAGCTCAAAGTGATCATGCAGGACGGAGCAGAACTGTCCCCAAGGCAGACTTGAAGCAACAACCTTGGGGTTAGCAGCCCTGTGCTTTAAACCACTGGACAGCCCAGGGCTCCTTCTACAAGTGGTCCACTTTCCCATTTATCTCAAGTGAGAACGAGCATTTTCTCCTACCTGGTCTCCCACAGGGGTCCAGGCTGGAAGTCCCCACTACTTGGAATTCAATGCTGCCTAAGACTATCTTCAATGCCATGCCATTGGCCTCCAGGTGGGCTCCCAAGAAGCTGACCTCGAAACAAGGGTTTGTGTGCAAGTGATCTATTGAGGAAATGCTTCCAGGGGTATCAGAAGTGGGATGGGGAAGTGGTCAAGGCACTTCATTCTGATCCCTCAGGAAACATCTCAGATCCTGTCTAGAGCAGGAGAGCCTGGTTGGCAGCTTCTACTCAGCTGCCAGTGGTCAAGGTCTATGGAGTGGACAGCTCTTCTGGGGCCCTCCTGTGATCAGCACCCTTTCCCAACCCCAAGCCTTGAAGTGGCTGCTTACTCATTGAAGAATCTGACCTTCGGGGACAGAGGACTGAGCTGGGGTGTCCAAGGCTGTGATCTGGACAGGATGGCCATGGTCTCCTCCCTTGGAGAAGCTGCCCCAAGGGGCTCCAGAGGCTCTGAACTTTGATGGGAGCAGACTGCCATAACTTCTCTGACACAGTGACTGCTGGGCTTGATGCACCAACCTTTTGGTTCACAGCATGTGCTTTAACCATTGTGGTACCAAGGCTCCATAGCAGTTCTGGGTCCTGTGGGCTGCAGTGAGTCAGCATTGACTCAGCCCCAACAGGTTTCCAGGACAACCAGGAAAACTTCTTAGAGATAATGCCCAACCCAGAGGCAAATGACACAGGTGAGGCAGTGTTGTTTCTTTTTTATTTTTATTATTTTTGTTTCTCACTTACCAACACATTTGGAGAACATAACAGGCTGTGTTAGCAACGGAGAGACAGCAAGGAGGGTGCACAGCAGGGCCAAAGCAGCTGCAGGTGGGACACCAGGCAGAAGGGGAATTCTTGGGCACCGGGGCCAGCACCAACCCGCTCTCCCCCCAGGCATCCACAGCTGCTGTGCTCATGCCCCACTTCCCAGATCCTTTATAATCTCGGTGAAGATTGTGTTAGCCCCAGCCCTGTCCCCAAGGTTGTCCTCCACCCAAGAACCATCCCCATAGCCTCAGGCCCTGGGCAGCATTCGAGGGGTTTTAAGCTGGTGGATCACTGAAGAGGCAGAGCAGGGGACCCCTTTTTCAGGCCTTGGAGAGTGCTCCCAGGTGCTTTTATCTAGTGCGACCTAAAGGAGGCGCTGTAGGCTCGGGACTGCGGCAGCCAGGTGCAGGCAGCCAGGTGCAGAACACCCCTGGATGTCTCCAAGCTTGGAGGGATCGCTAGGGAGGTTTTACCATCCTCTAGGGCAGGGCTGGAGCTTTCCCACACTGGTCTGATGGGGCCCCTAGCCTCTGTGTTTATAAACACAAGCGTTTTAATCAGAATGGCATCCACCCTGATGTGTTTTCATTCCAGAAGAATTTTCAAGGCGGACACCACTGCGGGCGATCCAAAGCCTTGATTAGTTTGCTGTACAGCACATATTCCTTGATTTCCTCCTTGTTATTTTTGTTTCCCCTTGTAAACAACTTACATCTGGATCAAATCCTTTCCCCGTGAACCTCACCACCCATATTCACTCACTGGTCAGTGTCTGGCCTGCCGTCACCGGAGTCCACTTACGGGGCTCTTGGTTCTACTGATTTCCAATTTCCCCAAAGGTGCGTTTGGCCAGGGTTGGCACTCAACGACCTGTCTTCCTTTTAAGTGGCTTTCCTCTTGCTGGTTGTTCGGGAGGCTGTGAATCACTGAATTTATGATTCTGCGGGGTACCTCGGTGAATCCGAGACAGCAGGATTCCAGGACTTTTCGACTGACCACAAAGTGGGTCTACAAGCCCCACTCTGCTCTGCCCGGGGCCTTCCGAGCTCGGGGGCCACCTCCTGACGTGGGCTGCTCCCGCTGTGGCCAGCTCAGCTTCCCGGCGCCGGCGCACAGCCGGCCTCACAGCGCCCTGTCGCCGGGCGCGCCCACCATGGCGGCC